CCCTTCATTAAATTCCTGGCTACGCCACTGATCTTCGTATATGAAACATTCAATATTTATGATGTACTGTTAATCGCATGCTCCACTTCAGTACTTACTATCAATGTTCCAATAATATCTATCTAAGATGATGTAAGCGACTAACACTATCTCACATGTAAACTTGCACGAATTTTGCTGCTACATCAATAAGAACAAAGTAAAAATAATACATAAGAAACTGACTTCTTTGAAAGCCGTGTATATTGAGGTTGATTAAAATATATATATATATATATATATATTTTTTTTTTTTTTATTTTTTTTTTTTAAAGATCCTCTTCAATATGCATGTTTGTTACAGTATTGTTTTGTATTGGTGGACACTAACTCTGTGGTCGAGCCTTCTTCCTAGTTTCTTATGGTTTAAGTTTTCGTAATGTAATAATTATGTTTTATTTTAGATTGTGCGATCAATTAAAGTGGTCGTTATACTAAGCAATAAATAATATGTGTGTACTTAGTGCAAATTAGTTTGTTAGTCACCAAAGTGGTCAAACTAGAAAAATTAACGTCTACACATATAATATTTATGATCACTTGATGCATGTATTATATTTCTATAGTTTGTTAGTCACCAAAGTGGCCAAACTAAAATGTTTAAAATTATTCACATGCACAAATTTTTATGAGATTATGTATGCATTTGTATTCATATAGCTTGTTAGTCACCAAACTGGCCAAACTAGTATGGTTAAGAAAAATATGTACTCATAAAATTGTCATTTATCTATGAAAGTTAATGAAATGCCTATATATTGAAAAATAAATAGATAAATTGACTTTCATTATTGCTAGAACTTAAGAATTTACCCAAAGGTGAATCAATCATTCTACGAATAGTGAAAATTATGAGGTAAATTAATCTTTTTAGTCAAACCTATTTGTATATCCAAAAATGTCATATATGTTTGATTAAAAATGTTCAATTACCTATTAAAGATAAAAATGGCATTTAAATTATGATAATGTGTCGTAGTATCTATCCAAAGGAGAATTACGATATATTTTTATCGCTTTACTGAATTCACATTATTTTCTGATTTGTGAGCATGTATATCTATTTTGCAGTTATTCCTCTTCATTCACATGCTTCTTTGGTTACTGTGTTCAATGGATTGAACTTCTCTGAATGGCATGAACAAGTCCAGTTCCACTTAGGTGTGATGGATCTTGACTTGGCTCTGCTGAATGACAAACCTACTGTGATTACTGATAAGAGCAGTGAGGATGAGACGTCTTTTCATAAATGATGGGAGCCCTCTAACAGATTAAGCCTTATGTTTATGCGGATGACTATTGCTAATAATATTAAGAGTACTATTCCACAAACAAAAAGTGCCGAGGAATACCTGAAGTTTGTGGAAGAATGTTTTCGTTCTGCTGATAAGTCTCTCGCTGGTACACTAATGGATGAACTCACGACCATGAAGTTTGATGGGTTGCGCAGTATGCAAAATCATATCATCGAGATGACCAACATTGCAGCAAGACTTTCCACCTTGGGGATGAAAGTGGATGACACCTTCTTGGTTCAGTTCATTCTGAACTCATTGCCTCTTGAGTATGGACCATTCCAAATTAACTATAACACTATTAAGGATAAATGGGATGTTAATGAATTGTTCAGTATGCTTACTCAAGAGGAGTCAAGACTTAAGAAACAAGGAGGTCATTCCAAACCTCATGGGTCAAGGAGCTGGTAAAGGACTTAAAGTGAAGGCCAATAAGTTTAAGAAAAAGAAAGCACCTGCTAAAGTTCCACAGAATGCTCATAAGGAACTCAAGGCCGATGTGTGTCGTTTCTGTAGAAAGGAAAGGCACTTTCACTAAACGAAAGTTCTGCTTATTTGTGGCATAAACATTTGGGTCATATATCCAAAGAAAGATTAAAAAGATTAGTAAAGAATGAGATTCTTCTGAATCTGAATTTTATTGATCTTGATATATGTTTGGATTGCATTAAAGGAAGCAAACCAAGCATACCAAGAAAGGTGCCACAAGGAACACTCGGCTTCTTGAAATTATACACATTGATATTTGCGAACCCTTTGATGTTCCATCTTTAGGTGGAGAAAAATATTTTATCACCTTTATCGGTGACTTTTCACGTTATGGATTTATCTATTTGTTGAAAGAAAATCTCAAGCAGCGGACGCTCTCAAAAGTGTACGTTACTGAGGTTGAAAGACAATTAGATAGGAAAGTGAAAATCATTAGGTCAGATAGAGGTGGTGAATATTATGAAAAATATAATGAATCAAAACAATGTCCAGATCCATTTGCAAAATTCCTTGAGAAAAGTGAAGTTAGTGGGAGTGTTGAATGACAAAGTGCGGAAATTAATGAGGTAAGGGTAAATATTTCATTGCCCATGAATGTACCTACTTCCTCACCAATCTCAAATGATGTTCCTCTTGTTGAATAACACTTTAACAATGGTGAACAACATTTAGGTGAAACACTTCAAGAAGGAACTAACTCACAAGTATCTGACGCAAATGAACCACAAATAGTGCCATTAAGAAAATCTCAAAGAGAAAGAAAATTGGCCATTTCAGATGATTACGTGATTTATTTGCAAGAGTCAGATTTTGACATTGAAATTAATAAAGATCCGATTTCATTTTCACAGGCCATAAAAAACATTGAGTCTAATAAATGAATTGATGTCATAATGAAGAGTTAAAATTCATGGAATACAACAAAGTTTGGGATCTTGTTCAATTACTAGAAAATTCTAAAAGAATCGGGTGTAGATGGGTATTCAAGACCAAACGCTATTCTAATGGTAATATTGAACGATATAAAGCCAGACTTGTTGCCAAGGGATACACTAAAAAAGGAGGCATTGATTATAAAGAGACCTTTTCACCGGTCTCAAAGAAAGACTCATTAAGAATTGTTTTGGATTTGGTAGCTCATTATGATTTTGAGTTACATTAAATGGGTGTGAAAATTGTCTTTCTTAATGGAGACCTCGAGGAGGATGTTTATATGGACCAACCAGAGGGTTTCGAAATTAAAGGAAAAGATCAAATAGTGTGTAAACTAAAGAAGTCAATATATGGACTCAAACAAGCCTCACGACAATGGTATATAAAGTTTAATGATACCATAACATCTTTTGGATTTAAGGAGATTATCGTTGATCGGTGTATATATCAAAAGATTCAGTGGGAGTAAGTTTATATTTTTAGTCCTATATGTTGATGACATTTTACTTGCTGCTAATGATTTAGATGACTTCTCTCTATGAACTTTGAAATGAAAGATATGGGTGAGACATCCTATGTGATAGGGATAGAACTA